GATTCTTAGATTCTTGGATTCGTAGATTCTTAGATTCTTAGATTCTTAGATTCTGAGATTGTTAGATTCTTAGATTCTTAGATTCTTAGATGTCTTAGATTCTTAGATTCTTAGATTCTTAGATTCTTAGATTCTTAGATTCTTAGATTCTTAGATTCTTAGATTCTTAGATTCTTAGATTCTTAGATTCTTAGATTCTTAGATTCTTAGATTCTTAGATTCTTAGATTCTTAGATTCTTAGATTCTTAGATTCTTAGATTCTTAGATTCTTAGATTCTTAGATTCTTAGATTCTTAGATTCTTAGATTCTTAGATTCTTAGATTCTTAGATTCTTAGATTCTTAGATTCTTAGATTCTTAGATTCTTAGATTCTTAGATTCTTAGATTCTTAGATTCTTAGATTCTTAGATTCTTAGATTCTTAGATTCTTAGATTCTTAGATTCTTAGATTCTTAGATTCTTAGATTCTTAGATTCTTAGATTCTTAGATTCTTAGATTCTTAGATTCTTAGATTCTTATATTCTTAGATTCTTAGATTCTTAGATTCTTAGATTCTTAGATTCTTAGATTCTTAGATTCTTAGATTCTTAGATTCTTAGATTCTTAGATTCTTAGATTCTTAGATTCTTAGATTCTCAGAATTTCTCTAAATTTCAAATACTTGGATTTTCCCTTTTTTCTACCTTTTAAAACCCAAAATTTCCTTCCAGATCCATCTCCACCATGCTCACAAGGGTCCCAATGCTCATTCTCGCCTTTTTCGTCGTGTTGGCACTGTGCCAAGAGCCTGAGAAGCCGGAAAAACGGCCTGCGTTGCTGTCTCGTTACGGACGTGCCGTTCTTCCACGTTATGGTAAACGGTCTGGCGGTGGAATGATGAGCAATATGGAGTCGGGTGGTGGCTCAGGTTGGTTTGATGGGCAGTGGTTGGGCAAGTTGTCCTACACTTGTCCTAGCTATTAGGTTTAGGTATAGGCGGAGTTAGAGATTTTAATTGCCCTTAGCTTGGGCAAATCTAGGGCATGATGCCCTACCTTGTCCCAGTTTTTTTTTGACATATGGACAAGTCTACGGTAACTTGTCCTAGATTATATTCCTATAACAGAAACATAAAACAAGCTTTGGGCAAGTTAAGGACAAAACTTGGGCAAGTTGTCCTACCTTTCTTGGCTTAACCATATGGGAGAGCCAAGACTTGGACAAGTTGTCCTATACTTGTCCTAGCTATTAGGTTTAGGTCAAGACAGACTATGGCTACTAGGCTGACGACTTGGGCAAGTTGTCCTAACTATTTTGCTTAAGCCTATGGGCAAGACTTGGGCAAGTTGTCCTAACTATTTTGCTTAAGCCTATGGGCAAGACTTGGGCAAGTTGTTCTACCTGTTTCGAAAAAGGGCAAATCAAGGACAAGACTTGAGAAAGTGTTCCTAGTTATTTTGTCTTAAGCACTTAGGCAAATCAAGGACAAGACTTAGACAGGTTCTGAACAAGGAAAGTTAAGGGCAAGACTTGGGCAAGTTGTTCTTCCTCAAAATATATAATGCAGTTTGCCAAAGTCTTGTCCCTAACTTGCCCATGTGCTTAAGCCAATAAAGTTAGGACAACTTGCCCATTTATGGAAAAGACTTGGGCAAGTTGTCTTATCTGCCAACTTCGTCTTAAGCCTATGGGCAAGTCAAGGACAAGACTTGGACAAATCTAAATTTTTAATTTTTCAGAAGAAACCTCCGAAGTCGTCTGCCAACTCATCGATGGAAAGTACATCTGTCTTCCGGTCGACGCGGTTCGCTTCCGCGCCTTCTTCTAATCTGTCCCTTTAAATTGTCTCTCGTTTCTCTGCGTCTCCAACCATCTCTCACTCTCTCTCTCTATATTTATTATAATTCATGGAAAATTAGAATAAATTCGTTTGTGGTGTTGTTATTTGATGTTCCGAGAAGAAGAAGAAGAAGAAAAAAATACTTTATCCAATACACCCGACAAGGGACCATAATAATGCAAGATGATAACATGGGCAAGGCTTTCGGGGAATCGAAATTTCAAAATTCAAACTGCAAACTTCTTGTTCGGTGGAGCGCGCTTGCGCGGCTTGAAAACTTAATTTTCGGAATATGTTAAATAGGTTTAAACACACATTTTAGGTGGAAAAAAACAAATATAAAAACCGGAAAATTTCGAAAAAAAACTATTTTTGAAATTTTGAATTTTATTGAATTTACCGGGCTCAAAATGTGCGAAAACTTCGAAAAAACGACCGAAAATCAATAAAAACCAGTTTTTTGCACGAATTTCTCGAAATGTGAATTTTGGCGGCGCGCAACCGCGCTCCGCTGAAATATATGAGAAAAAATGCAAAAAATCGATGAAAAACGAATTTTTCATAACATTTTCTGCAAACGCGCTCTATAGAACAGACGAAATTGCAGTTGGAATTTTTTTTAATTACAGAAAATCCCAGAATTTCGCTCAATGAAGGCTGACTGGTGGAAGATCGGCTCGAGCGACGAGCATGTGCAAAACGTTCGATTGTTTGATGAATTTCACCGCTCTGTCGTGTGTCATCATTGTGAAATCGGCGCCGTTGACCTGAAATGCAAATGCGCTCCATTGAGAATTTTGAGATTTTTTGAAATTTTCCTACTTTTTCGGGAAATTGAGCGGAAAACTCGAAAACTTCCAAATTTTGAAACTTTGAAAATCTCAAAAATTGAAATTTGCTAATTTCCGTAAAATCAGAAATTCGGAATTCGGTAAAATTACAATTTTTAAAAAATTCAAAAAAAAAATTGAAATTCCAAAATTTCGAAAAATTTCAGAACAAAATGAAAATTGGAAATTCAGAATTTCGCTAAAACTATGATTTCCAAAAGTTTGAAAAACCTGAAATTAAAAAATTCCAAAAATTCTAAAAATTGAAAGTCAGAATTTCAAAACTTCGGGAAACCCAAAACAATTCAAAAACTTTTTAAAAGTCTGGAATTACAGGAAATTCGAAATAATTCAGAATTCCCAAAATTTCAAAAAATCGGAAAATTGAAAATTTAAGATAACCCCGAAAATCCCAAATTTGGGACATGTTGGGAAAATCCAAAAAATAGGAAATATTCAGAATTTACAATTTCTCTGAATTTCAAAAAATCTGAAATTCTGAAAATTCATAACTTGGGAAATTCACAATTTTGAAAAAAACTGGAATTCTGAAAACTCTGAAAAATTCTGAGTTCTCAATTTTGGGAATTTCTAGAAATTCGGAAAATCTGTAATTAACATTGTTCTTTAAATCTAGAATTTCAGGAAATTCAGAAATTTCAAACTCTATATATTCCCGCCAAATGGAACTTTTCGTGATCTACAAAAACTTTACAAAAATCAATATCTTCTGCTCAAGTACCATAAACACCCTAACAGAACGTCACCCGGACCGTCCACTTTGAGCCTATATATCTCACTTCTTTTGAAAGATATCAAAAAGTTGTCAACTGATAAAATGTTTATCATGATATCAGCAACATTTTTTCAGTTGACTACTTTTTGATATCTCTCACAGAATTTGAGATACATGGGCTCAATTCAGGTGGCGTTCTATTAGAGTGTTTCCTGCAGATTGTTTTTGATCCACCCCAACCCGCGGTCAACCCCAAACCCACCTGCAAAATCTTATCATGTTTCCTAAGCCCCGCCGTCTCCGCCGGCGATCCCGGTTCGACATTTGTGATATAAACTCCAGCATCCGGATACTTGAAGGGGGCTTGGGTGGGATCCTGATCGATTCCGCCGCCAATTTTGAATCCAACACGAATTGTGACATTTCCACGAGCATCGACGACTTCTTGTTTATGAAGTTCGACGGCAATCGACAAACATTCGATTGCCTCGCCAGGCATGTGCCCGTATGCAGTCATTTTAGTGCTAAAACTGGCGGAAATTTGAAATTCTTGCTTTGAAAATCGAAAAATCCGAAAAAAAAACCAGTAAAACAATGTCGAAATTGTTTGAGAACATCGAAGACGAAGGGTACACATGATGACTCATCTCTTGTTCTCTAACCCACCCTCCTCGTTTCCCATACTCTCTTGTATACCCTCTTCATGACCCTTCTTTCTAAATTTGCATAGTATATGTGTTATGTTGAAATGTGTCCTTGTACACTTTTTCCCTTTTTCGCCGGCGATAAAATAGAGAGAAAGAGAGACACAGAAAATGGCCGTGGAAGAGAAAACTGCAGTTTTCAAGACCAAACATCGGCCTTTTTTACGATTTTTGATTGTTTTTTCATTCAAAATTCCCGGAAAGTCGATTTTTCTATCTAATTTTACAATTTTTCACAAAAAAATTTTTGTAAAAGTACTGTATCTTAAAGGCGCATGCACACAATTTGTCAGCCGGGTCTTGCAACGATTTTCTAAAAATCTAAGATTATGGAGAATTCTAGCATGTTTCAGGCAAATAGTTATGTTTTTTAAAGTTTTTGACAATCAATTTATGATTTTTACACAATTTTTCAGCTGAAAAATCTCAAACATAGGCTAGAAAACCCTCAAAAAACGCAGCAAAAACAAAACTACAGCAAATTAAAGGCGCATGCACAAAATTTGTAAGCCGAGTATTGCAACGATTTTTGAAAATGTGACATTTTATGATTTTATTCGGTTTTTTAGGCGAATATCTAGATTATTTTATTTTTAAAAAATATTTTTATCACACAATTTACAAATTGAAACACTTTTTCAACCTAAAAATCTTGAAAATCCATTGAAAATCACGAAAAACGCCTAGAAATAAAACTACAGTACCTTGAAGGCGCAAGGCAAATTTCCTCTCTCGAATCTCACACCGATTAGCTTTTTGCCTCTTTTCTAAAGATTTTTCTCCAATTTTTCTAATTTTCAGCAGCAAAAATGACTCAAGCACCGTCAGATACCAGTGACTATCAGCGATTCGACGAGATGCTGCTCCATTTGGAGCCACGTGGCGCTCGAATCCCCTATAACATTGTCTACGACAAGGATGACAATATTTGGGTGATTTTTCAGTGAAAAATTCTAAAAATATCGATTTTTCAGGTCGCTTCCAAGGGCGGACTCTATAAATTCGATGGAAAATCGTTGAGAACGTTGTACGAGGACAAAAAGTTTTTCAAAAAACAAGCACCTTTTCCACAAGTTCTCTATCACAAAAATCGGGTTAGAAAAATTTGAATTTGGCGCCAAATCTCCCAAAATTGACCGAAAATTTCGAATTTCAGATAATCTACACATCCGCCGATTTTTCCGATCGAACTACGCTGGTTAAGGTGATTTCACTGAATGGTGATGTGCTCCACGAGTCTTTTTTCGATGGTTTAGGTTAGAAAATTTGAAATTTTTGGCCTAAAATTCGATTCTTCCAGTAACTTCTATGACGATCACCGACGAGGGCGATTTGTACATTTGCAAGCAGACGAATCCAGGAGAACGAAAGAATTCCATTATGACGTAATTCGAATTTTTGAATTTCCCGCCCAAAAATCCATATTTCCAGAACCCACTTCGATTGCCCTATTGGCTGGGAGATTGTGGCTGAATCTAACGTTGGCGAGGCGTTTACGAGGTGCTGCGCGCTTGACAACAAAACTTTGGTCACGATTGTCAGCGATTTTCCCATGAATATGTACTCAAAGTGAGCGATTTTCAAGCTTTTAGCCCCAAATATTCGAATTTCCCGGCGTTTTTTCCTATATGTCGTGAGGTCTGGTGTACTGTACGCAAAAGAAGATGCAGAGGAGATGCGTACCTTGCACCGAATTTTACGACAATTCTCTAAAAAAGCGAAAGCTGGCTGGAACATTCGTTTTGAGCCGTTTTTTCTCGATTTTTCTGCATTTTTTGCCTAAAATTTCGAAAAATTCCAGCCAACGCATTGTTTTCTACGATTTGGAGACGAAACAGGCGACAAAGACGGTGTCGAAGACCGGAAAAGGGCCCGGAGAGATTTATTTCCCGAAATGTGTCAAAAAGTTTGGAGATGATGGATTCTTGATTACGGATCGATCGGGAAGGTTTATGGAGTTCAAGGTGAGACATTTTAAATGGAGAAATGCTGAATTTTCAGAAAATTTTGGCTGAAAAAGCCGATTTCGACCGATTCCAGTCATTTTAAGCTGTTTTGAGGCATTCTGGGCTTTTTCAAAGCGATTTTTGCCGCTGTTTCGCTCATTTTTCACCCTGAAAACCCCAATTTCAGAAAACCGGCGAATTCGTTGGCATCCGTGCTGAAATCGACGCATTCCTATGTGAATCGTTCGCCGTCAAAGATAACGAGGCTCTGATGGCACTGACTGGCATGGTACGTGATCCAGATGAGCAGTTGATCTGTGACGATTGGCTGGAGACGATTCGGTTGGATGGATCCACGTGGAGAGCTGAAAGAGAGAAGAAGAGACGAGAGACGGCAGAGAAAGAGGAGAAAGGAGCGGATAATTGAATTTTTTAACCTTTTTTTTCATATGAAAATTTGAATTTCCCGCCATTTTTTTAGTCTAGCTAGTACCGAATTTTTCATAATTCTTATGTCAAAAAATTTGAATTGTTTTTCTATTTTTTCAAATTTCCCCATATTTTATTGCCTTGAAAATTTTGAATTTTTTTGAATTTCCCCCCATTTTCCCGCCCGAAAAATTTGAATTTTTTTGAATTTCCCAACTAATTTCCTCTCTTCTGGGTCCCCCTTTTTTCACTTCATTCCTCATGATAGCTTTCAATTTTTCCGTTTTTTTTGTTTTTTTGAACTGTGATTTTTAGATCTATTTGAATGATTTAAAAGAGATTTATGCGAGATTTTTATATGAAAAACTGAAAATTCGAGTTTTCAAAATTCGAAATGGGTCATGACCTAATTTTTTCTAGGTCACGACCTAATTTTTTCTAGGTCATGACCTCATTTTTTCTAGGTTATGGCCTAATTTTTTCTAGGTCATGACCTCATTTTTTCTAGGTCATGACTTCATTTTTTCTAGGTTATGGCCTAATTTTTTCTAGGTCATGACCCAATTTTTTCTAGGTCACGACCTAATTTTTTCTAGGTCATGACCTCATTTTTTCTAGGCAATGACCTCACTTTTTGGTCATGACCTAAGTTTTCTAGGTCATGACCCAATTTTTTTAGGTCGTGACCTAATTTTTTTTAGCTCATGACCCAATTTTTTCTAGGTCATGATCTCATTTTCTGGGTCATGGTCTAAAACAATAGAACTTTCCTAGATTGTATTGGTAACGGAACCTAGTCATTTTTCAAATAAAAATGTCTCATTTTATTATTCCAGGAGTATACGAGTTGAAACTTATTCAGGAGCTGAAAAAATGTATTTAAAAAGGTGCAAAAAAAGGGTTAGGAGCACAGTGGAGTCGAACCCCTGGCCTTTCGCTCAAAATGCAAGCGCGCAAGCCAGTCGGCCACGCATGCACGATGAGGAGTGGAGTGCGGAAGGCGTATATGGTCTCTCCTCTCTGGAACACAGGCGACAAACAATTGATAAAAAACTGATATCTAAAATAATGTTAGGAAAAGTGGGTCTAAACCAGACTGACTTTTTCCAAGTGTCCACAAATAATCGAACAAGATCAAAATCAAGGTACAAATGGAAAAGAGCTAAAACAAAAATTAGGCAACACTTTTTCGTCAATAGGGCGCTTAGTAAAATGATTTAGTTACTGCTGAGCAATTGCTCAATTTTCTGGCCCTACTCTCTGTCCTCTATTCTATGTATTATTCTATGTTCATTGTTGGAATCTGATTATCATGTATTTTAATGTTTTTTTCCTTTTTTTCCACGATTCTTGCAATCGTAAATATATAAATAAAATAAATAAATAAAAAGGGGAGAGGGGCGACTCACAATCATGATGAGCGCATGTCTCTTGTGGCACAATCTCCACGTGTTCGATGGATCTTCGCAGATTTTTGACTGAAAATCAAATTTTCAGATTTTTAAAAACAATTTTTTGGAAAGAAAATATATAAATCTTAAATACCAATTTGCAAACGACTCAACTAATGTTGTACTCATTCTAGTTCTGGGGGACTTTTTCTAAAAATTTGAATTCAGGTATTTTTTTTTCAATTTCCCGCCAAAAACAAATCTATGACATCATCCTGAAATCCCTCAAAAAGTACTTTAAAAATTGCATTTCTCTCAATTTTTTCCCAGAATTTTGCACATTTTCTATTTGTCACGGACCCGAATTTTTGCCCCCCCCCCCCCCCCCCCCCGGGGGACCGCCTATGTGTCTGCAGAATAATTTTCTTTGTTCTCTTTTTTCGAAAAAAAGCTTCAACATTTTTATTTTTATCCATAAAGTTCTTTTTTTCGGATTTTTAAAAAATACATAAAAATTGACGGATCTAGCGAGAGAAAATAGAGTTTTTCGATCTATTATTTGAAATGTAAAAGCCCGCGAAAAAAGCCATAATTCAAAAATCAAAAATCATCATTTATTAGCCACAGAAGTTCCGGGAATTTCACTGGCACGGCGTGGCGAGACCACTGTAGGCGATTTGGTTACTGTAGATTGATGAATTGATGTGGACATGGTGGCAATCTCAGTTAGAACTGACTCGGGAGCTGAAATTATTGGTTGAGAGTATTTTAAATAAATGTAAAAAGGATTTGGAGGCCCGAGGAGTCGAACCCCTGGCCTTTCGCTCAAAAGACGAACGCGCAAGCCAATCGGCCACGCGTACAAGTTGATAAGAGAGGCGCGGAAGGCATATATAAATGAGGGGGAGGGAGCGACTCACACTCATGATGAACGCATGTCTCCTGGGGCACTATCTCCACGTGCTCGGTGGATCTTCGTAGATTTCTGTCTGAAAATTTTCAGATTTTTAAAGAAAAAATAAATAAATCTTACCAATTTGCATACGGCTCAACAATGTGGTGGTCATTTTTAGGTATTATTTTGGGGAGATGGAGGAGGTGGGTTCTGAAATTTTGAATTTTTAGAAAATTCGACGCGAACGTAAATTGACAACACAAATTGACCGTCAGCAAGCGCGCTCCGTTGAACAACTTTTCCGGCGCGATATTCAAATTAAATTTTTTCGGTCAAAAACTATTTCGGCTCAAATTTCGGCCAGAATTCCAAATAAAAACAGCAGAAAAGCGGCGATACAGAATTTCAGAGTTTCAGTCGATTTTCCATTAACACGACCATTTTTTCACAACAATGTGACAAAAAAGACCAGAAAATATTGTAAAAAAGCATTGGCGATGAAAAACTTGTAAAGTAACAATTATTGGGGAGTAAAAATGTTTTAAACTTTCCAAGAGGAGTGATTTTGCATATTTCTTGTTATTTTGTGCTTTTTTGCTGTTTTTATTTGAAATTCTGACCGAAATTTGAGCCGAAATAGTTTTTGACCGAAAAACTTTAATTTGAATATCGCGCCGGAAAAGTTGTTCAACGGAGCGCGCTTGCTGACGGTCAATTTGTGTTGCCAATTTACGTTCGCGTGAAAATTCGAAAAATAAAGAAAAATTTTGAGGTTTTTATTCTGAAAAAATTGGCCAATTATAGGATTTTTTTGTGTGTATATGACAATAGAAAAAAAAACAGAAAATTGGCAGAAAATTGAGCAATTAAGGAAAAAAAGTTTTTGAAAAAGTTTAAAAATTGAAATTGAAAAAAAACGAATCGGATTTGGAGAAGTCAGAAAAATCGGCGAAAAAACCGAAATTTCAGAAAAATTGAAAAATTTCTGGAATTTTAATTTTTTCTGAAATTTTTAAAAGTTTTCGGATTTTTCGAATTTTCTGGAATTTTCGAATTTTCAGAACTTCAAGAGAAAATCTAGGTTTCGAGAAATTGCTGAAAATGTTGAAATTCCACAAAAATGCCAAAAATTTCGAAAAATCTGAAAATTCCGATTTTCCATAAATCTAAAATTTCCAAAATTTGAAATTTCACAGAAAATGGGAAAATTTGAAAATTATGAAAATTCAAATCTCAAAGTTAAAAATGTTTGAAAAAAATTTCAAAAAAAATCTTAAAAATCCGGAAATTCAAATTTTTGAAAAATCTGAAAAAGTCTGAAATCTCAAGAAGAAAATTCTCAGATTTCCAAGGTTGTGAGCTTCAAGATGAGCCTAAACACGGTGCAAATCGGTTAACTTTGATTGCCGCTCAGAAAACACGCGACGCACAGCCGCGACGCATCCGAAATTTCAAATATCACTGAATCCGGGCGTGTTTGGGCTCATTTTGAAGCTCCAACTGGGCTGAGTTCGAAATTTGACATTGAAAATCAAAATTCGCAATTTCCGAGCTTCAAAAACGAAGAAATTTGAAAAAATTCGATAATTATAAATTTTCCAAAAATTTGAAAATTCAAGTTTTCAAAAAATTTTAAACTTCAATAAATAGAAAAGCCTAAAAATCAAAAAAATTGAAAATCTCCTCTCTCATCCTCCTTTCCATCTCTCAAGTAGTTCCATAGTGGTGCACCAGGAAGTTCTTGAGTAGCTTCAAAAAAGTGGGCGGAGCCTAACAATTTTCCAGAAAACACACAGAGAGTGTTCTTAGTCGTTTTGAAACAAAAAAAAAGAAAAAATTTTGGGGAAAAATTCCCCAGAGATTTTTAGGAGGGAGAAAAGTTTTGAAAGTTTTAGAAGAAGAGAAAATTCAGAAAAAAAGGGAAAAAGTTCTGTTTTTTGACAAAAAAGGTGTCACTCAAAAGACATTTAAGCATGAGCAATGACACTACAAACTACAGAAAATCTGAAAAGTCGAAAAAATTCGAAACCTCAATCAAAATCCAGAAAAACCAACAAACTTCTAGACCAGGACCAAAAGTTCTGCTTTCTGTTTCTAATCGAATTACAAGAATTTAAAGGCGCATGGTCCTATGTCAGAAAAATTTTATCGGATTTCCAAATGCCTCGTGTCTTTCTGGTCAAAAACATGTTCTAATTGGGTTGTATTTTTCGGGAAAAGAGACAAAAGATGACTGATCCCACGTCATCTGACAGGAGCAAAGTTGAAAACAAAGAAGAAAAAAGAGTTTTGGCTCGTAGAGGAATCGAACCTGAGGCCTTGTGGGCAAAAGCCAAGAGCGTTCGCCACTCGGCCACGTGCGCACTATTGCAAAAGAGAGGTAGAACGCGTATAAGGAGGGGCGGCTTTTCGCGCTTTTTCGCGCTCCATCAAGAGGCGCCCGTGGGATTAAGCGGGATGAATGAATTTCAGATAATGTCCAAATATATGAAAAAAAAGAAAAAATCTCTCAAATTTTATTTTCAGTGGAAAATTTTTCACACAAATACGAACACAATCAAATCTCATCCATTTATCCAATTGTAAGATAAAAAGGTTAATTTCCATCATCCAAAATCCGCGACAGCTCATTCAAGTCCTTCAGCATGTCCCCACGACGGTCCTTGTCCGTTTGGCACTGTTCCAATTTTTGGCTAGCTTGTTTCAGCATGTATTTGACGTTGGACTCCATCGAGAGCGGTGTCGACTCTTCGTAGATCCAACGGCGAACGCGGCACTCGTCTTTGACAAATCTGAAAATTGAGAATTTGGTTGGTAGATGGGTTTCAAAGCGTCCAGGTGTCCATAAAAAAGAAGCAAAAAGGGTTTTGCCCCAAAAAGAATAGAACCCCCAACATCTGGCTCAAAAGTCAAACGCACTAGCCACTCGGCCACGCGCGCAAACTAGGTAAAGGAAAGCGGAAGGCGAGGACAAGAGGGCGACTCACTGGGTCATGAAGAACTTGCTCGCCGGATAAGCGATATGTTTCCGACGGTCTGCCAAATCCTCATCATCCGGTCCCGATTCCTCCTTTGATGGTTTTCGAACTTCCTGAGAAGGATGAGCAATCACTGGAGGCGATGGTTGAGTTGGCATTTCAGATGACGGTGGTTGTGATGTCGGAGCAGTGACCATCGGATCAGTGACTCCAGAAGTCGTTGGAGTTGTTGGAGTCGTGGAAGAAGGTGGTGGTAGAAGTGGAAGAGCTGGGGCTAATGGTGCTGCCTGTGGTGGTGGTGGTGGAATAGGTTCAGAAGACATCGAGCGGAGTGGAGCTGGTTTGGCTTGAGGGAGAAGCTTGGCAGATGCATCTGGTTTCTTCTGCTGCTGAACCTTTTGAAGAGAGGCTTCCGGTGGAGGTGGAGTTGGTTCTGGAAGTTTGTAGAGGTTGTTAAAGAAGCAAAATAGGTTTGGATTCCCAGAGGAATCGAACCCCAGAACCTCTCGCACAAAAGTCTAATGCGCAAGCCAGTCGGCCACGCGCGCAGTTGAGCATTAGAGGTGCGAAGGGCGTAGAGACAACCGCACCTTCTCAAAATTTTTCAGAGTGCCGCCGACACAAAAAACCAACATTTCGAAAGCTCCAAAATTCCACGTTCAGCCTAATTAAGCCTAATTAAGCCCAATTAACCTCAAACTCACTCTCTTTGCTCGATTTCTTCGCAGATTTCGACGATTTTCCAGCCTTTCCAGCGCCAGCCGGTTTCTTCGGCGCCGGCGATCGTGCCAACTTCTTTCCGCCACTCTTCTTCGACGATCTCTTCACTTTTCGCTTCTTGGCACAACACGAGAAAAATCCTTTTTTGGACTTCTTAGATTTTTTCGCTTTTCGCGGTTGACGCATACGCGATTTGGACTTGGTCTTGGTGGTGACGGTTTTAGCAGATTTCGTGGATTTTGGAGACTTTGGAGATTTTGGAGCTTTTGACGACGCCGTCTTTTTCTGGAAAATATCGATTATTTGTGTCGGCGCTACTCTGAAAATTGCGAGAAGGCGCGGCGGTGTCTATGCCCTCCGCACCTATTCCTTCAAATGCGCGCGTGGCCGAGTGGCTAGCAACCTAGACTTTTGAGCCGGAGGTCCGGAGTTCGATTCCTCTCTGGGCTCAAAAGTCTTTTTGCTTCTTTTTTACTTTGGCAAGAGCGGTTGTCATGTTTGATATTGAAGCGGAGTGAGTGCTCGCTGATTGAATCGAGTAGACGAGATGGGAAAAATCGAGAAGTGATTTGAGATATCGATTTATTGATCGCTTGGGATTTGTGGCCAGAATGTGGTATGCGGATTATAGGAGCGTGTCAAAAAAATTTAAAGAATTTTACGTATGAATTCAAAAATCTAGGTGTCCAGATGTCCAATGCAAACTTTTATTGAAAAAATCCCAAAAATAGAAAAAAAATTAAAATTAATCAACATGAATGAAGGATTTTCCTCCAAGGAACATCTCGAAGTCGTATGCTTTTTTTTCTCCGCAGTTTTAGTATGGTCCGAAATTCGGAAGATTGAATTGTCCAAGCTTTTACAAGTCAGATTTCCCATTCCTTTTGCTGTCATCATAACTGCTACTGATCCTTGAAGTCCTTCACGAATCGAATTTTCAGTGACTTGAATATTTCTAGAGAGATAGTAACTGCCGCTGATAAGATCTCTTTCGACAACGTTGGTTTCCGAAAGAGGTCCTGGGCAATTGCCATCTTTTTTCCAGGTGATTGCAAGTGATGGAATTCTCTGGAAATTTGAGTTTCAACGCTTAAGTATGAAACATGACAACCATTCTTGCCAAGGAACTGTTCTACAAAAGAAGCAAAAATGTTTTTGAGCTCGAGAGGAATCGAACACCAGACCTCCATCTCAAAATTCTCTTGAACTATCCACTCGGCTACGCGCGCATTCAAACGCTAAGGGTGCGGAGGGCGTAGACAACACCGCGCATTGCAAATTTGCAAATTTCTGGCGCCGATCGGCTCAATTTAAGAAAAATTCAAAAATTGTTTTTTCAAAACTAACAAACGTACTGGAAATGGAAGATTAAATTTTGTAGTCCGCGTACCTGTGTCAATGGTCCACAAACGTGTTCATATCTCAACACCAACTCATCACTCGTGTCCCTCAAAGAATTCATCTCCTGGAAATGGATATACCGTACACCTCGGGTGTGCTCTTCATCACAGAAATTGCGAGCTGAAAGGAATAAATCAAAATGTCTATCTGTGTGTCTGTTTGTCCATACTCTCGTAGAAAACTCTGATCGCTTTTCCGTAGGGATACCTCCAATCTCCATCTCCAACCACAACACTCAATGCCTCGGTATCCACATATTTGAGCTCTAAAGTCGTATTTGGAGCCACCGAGATTAGAAGTACTCCGGATTCTTGTTCCAGTTCAATGGTTTCTGAATAAAATGATTTTTGAAACTTTTGAAAAAATGTTTTTTTTGCAGAATTTCTAATTTTCAAACGCCTACGAAAGGACTTCACACTTGTTCAATCAATTTGAAAATTTAGTATTACACAGAACAAATTTAGAGCTTCATTTTTGTAGTTAACAACTTTTTGGTACAAACGCGCTCCAATGAGATACGGGCTGTCAAACGAGACGCAGTAGTCAGCGCGCTCACATCGGCGTCTCGCTAGACTGCATGTTTCTCATTAGAGCGCGTTTGTACTAAAAAGTTGTTAACTACAAAAATGAAGCTCTATTTTTGTTCTGAATTTTCTCAAAATTTCAAACAATTCTATCAACTTTGAACTAGGTTTCCAAGCACTCGAAGTTGTCCGAAAAGTCTGTCCGTGTGTCTGTTTGTCCAATACCTACCGTTAACATCCCAAACGGTCACATTTCCATCTGGATTTCGGATTTTCAGAACTTTATCCTGATACATGTCATTTCCATTACTGCATGCTTGCTGTGTTGAAGCCCAATCAGCTGGAACGATTCAAAAACTACAAAAACTACAAACTACAAACTTACCGCTAGCTAAACCCAGCCATGCTAGATGGAATAGAACATTCCAGAGAATCATGATTTCAGCGAAAACTGAAACTGAATGATTTCTTCCATCCGTTGGCTTTTATGCATGAGAATCGGTTCTCATACTTTTTCGATTTTCCCATTTTTGAATTGCCGGGGAATCTGAGAAAGGTAACAAGGAATCGAAAATCAGTTACAGCAGGAAAAACCCGTCGTTCTATGTGATCTAGGCTTGGTTTTTTTTGAGTTTTAGAGAATTTTTTCTTTTTTTTCTGAAAATTCAAAAAATCTTTAATTCAAACATGTATCAAAATTTTTTGTTGTTGTAAAATTTGTAATGTTCAACCGTTTACAAAAGCACTTCGAACTTTTTCAATCAATTTGAAATTTTGAAATTATACAGAACAATAGTAGAGCTTGATTTTTGTAGTTGAGAACTTTTTTGCAAAAACTCGCTCTAACGAGATACGCCAGGTGGAAGTGCTTCAACTATCGCTCCGCGCTTGTATGGCGCTGCTTTTTTTTTTAAAGCGGCGTATCTCAACAGAGCGCATTTGCACAAAAAAGTTGTCAACTACAAAAGTGAAGCACTCTTTTAGTAAAATATATTCTCAAAGTTTCAGATAAATTGAACATTTTTGAACCGAATTTTCGAGTGCTCAAAATTGGTCGTTTTTACAATGGTTCCCGATTTCAATATAGCGCACTTGTTACACACAGAGGCATAGATAGATCTCTACAATGATGACCCTTTTCTTGAATAAAAGCTACCATTTGTCCCCATAGACCCTCTCTTTCCATACGTCGTTATATAACCTCCCCGTATCGATTTTTCCCAAAATGCCCCGGTTTCGTCTTCTTGCTCTACCGACAGTGGTTCTTGGAGACATTGCAAAGCTCTGGGACCCAGTTGAATTGTAAGTTTTAGAAAAATTTTTAAATTCCCCTTTATCAAAACCTTCAAATCTTTAGATTCGAAATATCACAATGCTCGAAGAATATGGTCAAAATCGTTCAACTAGCAAATACTTCAAAACTCAAACTTTCTTTATGAAACAGAACATTTCATATCATTGGAAAGTACTATTTCAAAGTGGTCTCTTCTGCGAATCTTGGAAATTTCAAAACTCTCGGAGTTCGACATTTCGAACTTGATCAGAATCAAAAGTTTGAAATCAAAATTGCAAGAGACTCGAATGATGTTCTGTATTTTTTCTGGGACGATGAGTTTCTAGGAAGAGCTGTCTTGCTCTTTTATCTATCCCACATTTTCAATTGTCCATTGAAGTATTTCGTTGCGGGACACCTTTTCCTTCGAAAGTGTTCCGATTGATCATTGGATGACTCATTAAGAAACAAAATGGAGAAATCGAAGATATATATGCTTGTTTTGAAAATGAGGAGGACTTAAAATGGACATTGGATAACTTGAAAGCTGAATCGCTCACTTTCGATTTCCCAAGTTATCAAGGACAATTAATTTCGCATTCATTGAAATTTCATTCCAAACTTCTCACAATCGGGAACTCCGGATGGTTTATTATCGATAATCTTGTTCTGGCAGCCAAATCGTGTATGCTGATAAGTCTTGAGAAGTCTAAACTGAGCAATAAGGATTTGGATGCATTTTTGAGGTTGTGGATGACTGGAGAGTTCCCGTGTCTTCAGTTTCTTGCTATAAAGAGCGAGAGTTTTAAAGGTGGGGGGACAGGAGATTTTACGGGGGATTTTTGTAGCTAGAGTATGCATTTTACCGTGACGGTGTACAACGCTTAACGCCACTCTGCGTACAGCTGTCGTCCTCGCCTTTATGTATGCAATCGGGCGACCTCTTTCTCTTTGCCCGTGTAGCTCAGTCGGTAGCGGCGCCGCACCCTCAATCATCTCCCCACACGTTCAACTCCTCGAGGGGCATATTTGAACGGAATTTCGAGAACATTATTTTTTTTCATGTCCCCCCACCTTTAATGATAAGGAAAAGATAATGATGCATCGCCAATGCAATGGAAAACGAAACACAGTGAGTGCCTTAACTCGGTTCAAACTTCCTATTTTTTAACGAATTGATGAGTAAAATTTAGAGCTCGACAAGTTCTTCAAAATGATATAAAATTCGATGAGTTTTGAAAATTAGGTTTTTTGAGCAGGACGCGCTAAACATAGGTCATTTGCAAGCCCTTAGTTGCGGGCTCTGGCGTCTAGCAGCCTTTCCTTGAATATCTGAGTTTCGAAACATATCGAAAGTTACGTTTTTTTATAGAGTTTTTTAAGTCCTACATTCTGCAAGTCGATTCATACAAAAATAGCAAGTTTGAAGAAAGTTATGATCAATTCAGAAAATATGTAAGCTTCAATCGCTTATACTTCTATTCGAAATGGAAATTTTTAGACAATTAAAAAAGCAACATGTACAACTTAAAAAGGTCTTCAAAATAATATAAAATTCCATAACTTCTGAACAAAATCTTTCCGAGTAGGATGCGCTAACCTTAAATGCCGGCCCTTAGTTGCGGGCTCTGGTGCTTAGCGGCCCCTCCTCAAACATCTGATTTTCAAAGTTTATTGAATTTTAAATGACTTTACAGAGTTTTTCAAGTTCTACGTTTTGCAAGTCGATTCGTTAAAAAATTATCAGTTTGAAGCAAGTTATGATCTATTCAAAAAAAGTATTCATGTTGGCTGGTTTGAGAATATAAATACCCTAACTTCAATCACTTGTAATTCTGTTCAAAATTGAAATTTTAGCTTGAATCAAAAATCAAAATGTAGAATTTAACAAGATCTATTATTTTTTTTATTTTTAAATGACAAGTTTCAAACCTGAAGACTTAAAACAGCCGGGCCACCCCCCCCCCCCCCCAAATAAGTAATGACTTCTTTTCGGCCTTTGTGTTTAGTGAAACTTTGTAGATCTTGACAAATGGTTAACGGCTTTTGTGTACAAACGCGCTCTATTGAGATGCGCGGCGTGGGAGAGCTCTAACTGCTGTGCCTCTCTAGACTGCGTATCTCATCAGAGCGCGCTTGTATAAAAAAGTTGTCAGCTACGAAAATGAAGCGCAGTATGCGTTTTGTGTATATTGGAAGTTTCAGGCAAATCTAGAGACTTTGAGACCTTTCAAAAATGCAAACGCGCTCGGTTGAACTAAAATGTCTTCCTTTGCAGAATCCTGAAAATTCTTGTCGAAGTTATCAGAGGAGTCGGCGTAGAAAACGAAGATGACGTGAAAGCAGAAGTCGAGCTGATATTCTTTCCAACACCTCGATTCGTCTTGTATTTGCTTTGAGTTCTGAAACGTTGGCCTACTTTTTCAGAGCTGCACTTTAACAAATCAATTATCTCAATTTCTGTGAGAGCTATCGAAAATTTGAAAACTAAGAAAATGTTTATCTGATAATGATTACATTTTATCAGTTGACAGATTTTTGATATCTCCTATAGGAATCGAGATAATTGAGCTCATATGATAATTTAAAGATTTCATAAAAGTAATAAATATTTAACACCTAAAAAAGTTTTGTTACAGAATGAAGGTTCTAAATTTTTAAATGTAGTTTTGCTGACTGTCCTAGAAACCGAGATAAAGCCAGTCGACATTTAAGAGGCGAGACGCAGACGAAGAGAGACTGTAACTGTCTGCGTCTCTCAAACTTTTAAATGACCGTATCTCAGCTTCTAAAAGAGCTAGAAACTTGGTTCTTTTTGTGTTTTAAAGCATTTTTGTTGTATTTTTGAAAAAGAAAGAAAAATTTTCAAAAAAAAACTTTTATCACAAAGAAGAAAGTTCCTTTAAGCTTCCGCCAACGAGACAAAGACATGGATTAGTGCGAAAAAATCACGACAACTTTTGACAACAAAATAACCCCAAATGTTTAAAGGAAGTTGATACAAAAAACAAAAAATCAAAAGACAATTAATCGGAGTAAACGTTAAAGGACCAACACTTGCTAGTGACCAAATACTGAAAATCAGAAAAGCGAGATTGATGAAAAATGAGAAAACGCAAAAGATGTGATGAATGTTGAGAGTGGTCTTGTCGAAATTCACCAGTGCACGAGCAGTGGCAACAGCCATTATGAATAGGGTCTGAAATTAAATTAAAGTCAAAAATTCCCTTTCAAACGGTACAAAATTCATAAAAATTGGTTTGGTGGGACCTGAGAAAACCTGGGAAACAGGCATGTTGGTATCAGACGCCTACAAACGCTATTCAAACTTTTTTGATTTGGCTGAAAACTTCAAAATACACTGAACAAAACTAGAGGTTCATTTTTGTAGTTGACACCTTTTTTTTTGCAAACGCGCTCTAATGAGATACGACGGTTGGAATTGACATACTTGCGGCACCACCTCTCGGAGACAACGGGGTGACGCCGAGCGTCATATCTCGCCAGAGCGCGTTTGCATCAAAACGTCGTCGATTACAAAAAGGAAGCTCTAATTTTGCTCTATATAATTCCAAATTTTCAAAGTGATTGAAAAAGATTAGGAAAATGATTTTTTTTTGGAAAAATCTCTTTTTTGTTTGTTTTGATTTGAAAGTTTCTGTCGATTTGTATAACACTTACCACATCATAAACAGCGATTGCGTAATAGAACAATGGATGGGCGAACCAGCCATTAAAACTTTTGGGAAAAGGTTCCCAAAGAACGAATTTCTTCCGGAGCATTGCTTCGAATATACAAAGAGCAGTGGCGACGACATAACAGAGTTCGAATACGACTACAGTAGTACATCCGCCACGGACCAGACACGAGGAGAGGCAGCAGAGGGGTTCAAGTTCCAGATGACGAGATTGGACTCTGAAATAGTAAAAATTGAAAATTTGAAAATGTTGTGATTCAAAAGGATGCGCTAAACTTGGGGAGCAGCCATTACTAGTCCCTTCTTAAGCGGCCCTCTCAAACATCCGATTTTCAAAATTTATCAAAATTTATATTAATTTATAGAGTTTTTCAATTCCTACATTTTGGAAATTGATTCATTGAAAAATATTTAGTTTGAAGCAAGTTATGATCTATTTAAAAGTATGCATGTTGGTTTTGTTGGAGTTTATGTCCACCCTAACTTCCATTGCTTATAACTCCCTTCAAACTTAACATTTTGAGACAAACAAAAAAGCAAAATGTGTAAATTGACCAGCTCTTCAAAATGATATAAAACTCCATAAGTTTCTAAATTCCAGATTATTGAGCAGGACGCGCTAAACTTGAGACACATGTGAGACCCCAGTTGCGGGATTCGGTGTTTAGCAGTTCCTCCTCAAACACCTGACTTTTACAACTTGTAGAATTTTAAATACTCTTATAGTCCTTTTTGAGCCCTACATTTTGCAAACCGATTTATCCATAAATAATGAGTGTGAAGCAAGTTATGATCTATTCAAAAATGTGCATGTTGGCTAGATGGAGGATATGCGGGCTCTGTTGTTTAACGGTTCCTTCTCAAAAACCTAATTTCTAAAACTTATTAAAATTTATATAAGCTTATAGAGTTTTTAAAGCCCTACATCTTCCAAGTTAAATTATTCAATAAAGTTGGGTTTGAAGAAAGTTACAACCATATAAAAACTCAATGTCAAAAATCAAAACATGCGCCTTTAAAGATTCCCAAACTCACTTTGTATGTATCGGTGCTACTTTGTTGGCCTTCATTCGATTTCTGAACATGATCACTTTTTGATATTGATGGTTTACAGCTTCTCCGATCTTCTCAAAGTACTGACTCATTTTCCAGTACATCACACGTAGAGCACCGGGAGCTTGATCTGGAAATTTCAAAATATGAATTTCAAAATAAAGGGAAAAGTCCGGGCTATCGGTGTCGTAGACATATACATCCGGTTTCTTTCTTCTATTCATACTACCCCCACCTGCTGAGCTCTTTTTGCTCGAATTGTCGCCTCCGCGTGGCTCCTTGACTTTTGGAATTTTCATGGCTCGTTTCCCGTTTCCGTTGTTGCCTGGAGTGGAGGCAGGACCCACTTGATTCAGCTGAAAATTTTTTTGGAAAAAATGAGTCATAAATCTGAAATATGGTTTTTGGAATTTTTCAAATTTTTCATAAATTCCGTAACTGTCAGCGAAAACTTTCAACACGGCGCCCGCTTCTGTACACCTTGAGCGCTTTTGTTGTTTGTGCGCGCATGGCCGAGTGGCTAGCGCTGTTCGTTTTTGTCAGAGAGGCCGCGGGTTCGATGCCTCTAGATGGTAAATCCTTTTTTCTCTTTTTTGTAGGATTTTTTGTGAAAAAGAAAAATTGGGGAAGTGAAATTGAGTCAATTTTTAGCATTTTCCAACATACCGTAAGCCCTATTACAGAAAGCTGATCTATACTTGCACTTTGAGCAAAATTTTCTATAATTCTATAAGAGATATCAATAAGTGGTCAACTGATAAATTGTTTATCATAATATCAGCAATATTTTATCAGTTGATCGATTTTTCATATCTTTTACACAAACTGAGATATATGTGCTTAAAGTTAGCGGTTCAGGTTTAGAGTGTTACGATATTTTTTGGATCCCAAAAGTTCGAAACTTGAAAAAATCTTTAAAAAGTACAAATTCACATCTAATAAGTTACTAAAATTTTTGTATGGGGAAGAAAAATGAGAAAGTGCTACATGCAAAAATTATGGATTTCAAGAAATTTTCTTTTTGGAAAATTCTTGTTATTTGAGAATTCTGAAGCATTCTAACTTGAAAAAAATTGCAAATAATCCTTTTCTTTTCTTTTTCCTTTGAAAACAAGAAAGAAAAACCCATTTACCACCAGTGGGGTTCGAACTCGCGACCTCGTGGACAAACCGCAGTCGCGTTAGCTTGGCCACGCGCGCACATTGTTAGATGCGGCAAATGGCGTACACAAGGGCGCGGCTTTTCGAGCCTTCCTTACCTTTTTCGGCTGCCCATTTTGATTTCCATTTTGAACCCCATTTGTATTTTTCTTAACAACGGGTGTCTTTTCCGGCGGTACCCAATATTCAACCATATTTTGATCCGGTTTGTGACGAGGGCGACGGAATTCCTGGTCCGCGAAGTATCGTCGATTTTCCTGCAAAAAAATAGCTGGTTTTCTCAATAGAGCACATTTGCCACAAAAAGATAGATGCATAATTGATTTATAATAAGGATAAGGATACTTTAAATATCCATGCAGTATAGTGCTCATGCTTTAGGTGTTAATAGAGTTAGCCTTGTGCAAAACGCGCCCCATTGATGAATTCTCAATAGAGCGCACATGCTATAAAAACCTCATCTTGCTCCTTTGATGGGGTGAGTCCTGTGAAAAGTTGGACCGTTGCCAAGTTACGTAACAGCTTCAGATTGTTTTGACGGATTGCCTATTTTCAGAATTTCAGAATTTCAGATATTTCGAAATTTTGTTTTTCAAAATCGATTTTCTCTGAAACCTACCTTCTCAAACTCGTTCATCATTACTTAGAAAATATAGAAAATTGCTCAGCTTTAAAAATATTCAAGAAATTTTTTTTCAGTTATGTGAATATGTCTCTCCAGAAGCAGAAGAAGAAAAAGAAGAAGTCGATTCCTTTGAAGCGAATTCTAATTCCTTTTTTTTCTTCAAAGTGGGCGTCGTCTTTTTTGGCCAAAATGGACCCCACTTTCAAGCAGTTTTTTGCCTCCGCTTTTCTCCGATTTTTTTTTCGTTTTTTGACGGAATGGAAAACGGGAAATAGAAGAGGAAGTTTTGAAATGAAAAGGTAATTGTTGGGAGATTTAGGTTTTTCGAAAAAAATGAAACATTTGGTGTTTAGTGTACTAGGATTCACAGGAAGAATTAAGCTCCGCAGCTCACAGAAGTCACTCGATCAAAGGGGGTTTGAAGGTTTCAATTTTTGTATTAAAAGGGATGTAAATCAGTCAGTTTTCGACTATACTCAAAATTTTAATGATATTAATATTTGGCTCATTAAGAGATTTGAAATGAGTATAAACATGACCTACTTCCCAGAATTTCGGTTTTCGACACTCCTTATGCGCCTTTAAAGGAGGCGAGACAGCAAAAATTTCGGGGGACAAAATCGCGCCGCGCGTATGTAGACCATCGGTCGTCAGGCGCCTTCGCGCCATCGTAGCTCAGCGGGTAGCGGCGCTGTACCCCTGAACTGCCTGTCATGAGTTCAACCCCTCATGGGGGTTCTCTATGCAAACTATCAGGAAAACTTTTTTTTTGGTGTCTGGCCTCCTTTAAAGTCGTAAAATCGAAAGTTGGGAAATCCTAGTCGTGTTTATACTCGTTTTGAAGCTCATGTCATTCCAATCATGAAGATGTTAGATATTGTGATTTTGAACAAAAATTGACTGATTTAGGAAGCATTTTATAGGTCTCGATCGAGCTACGAATGTTCACAGAAGACAACTGCATTCAAGGAACAGGATGAGATTTTCCCCTATGCTTATAATTAGCAATGGAGCGTGTTTTGCACAAAAAACTATATCGAAGTTTTGAATTTTTGCTTTTATAGGCTTAAGGTTATAGGTTCAGGCCTTCTTTTCTCACCACTGGAATAAGTCAAGGTTTCAATTTTCAAGTAAAAAAAAAGCTGTAAATTAGTCAATTTTTGACCAAACTCAAAAGTTTAACCATATTCATGTTTGGCTTGTGAAGGGCTTCAAAATGAATATAAACAAGACCATGATTTCTCAATTTTCGATTTTACGACTTTAAAGGCGCATAAGGGGATCGAAATTCGAAATTCTGGAAAGTGGGTCATGATTATACTCATTTTGAAGCTCATGTCAAGGAAATCGGGAATATATTAAACTTTTTAAGTTAAGTCGAAGATTGACTGATTTACGACACTTTCAGGTCGTATACAATTTCCCCGAAACCAAAAAGGTTAGAGTCAATAAGAGTTTATAGGAATCGTAAAAATCCTGAGAATCCGTTTAAAAAAATGATTTTCAGACTTTTATACATCACTAAAGTGAACAACAACAACTACTACTTAAATAGGGTTGAATAGAGTGGAAAAAGGGGAACAACATAAAATAACAAAACAAGGAAATAGGTAAAAAGTGCACAGTTTAGATCTTTGAAGACACCAACAAATGCGCTCTATTGATAATTTGGAGTATTTTGAGTTAATGAGTCTAACTGAAAAGCAGTACTTGAGGGCTTCAGGATTCTTAAAATTACACATTTGATGGGTGGCAGGGACTACGGTAGGAGATTTAGTGGTTGTTGGTTATTTCGATCTTTTACCAAACACCCCATCACTGAAATCTGGGATCCCGATAAGCTGAGAAAGCGGCGGACACTTCACCTCCTTCCGCGCTTCACAAAGTCGACAGCGTGGTGTCGGGGATGTGCCATGCGCCAAAGTGCGCATGGTCAGGGGTTCGAGTCCACATTGGGGTTTTTAGTTTTTTTTTTCTTTTCACTTTATTTTTCAAATATAGATCACTACAAAAAAGTAAAATCAAAATGCCGGAAAAAAGTGAACAAACTGAACAGACTCCCAAAAAATAATAAAGACACAAACCACAACTCCGAAACTTCAGACAATGAAGTTTCGCACCCCATGGGGTCCATTCAGACTAAGAAAAGAACCCCATTAGCTAAATATTTCTATTGTCTGGGTACATTTTTGACATAGTAAAAAAACCAAAAAAAAGAGCAAGTTTTTTGCTCAAACTCCCGCCTACACGTCTAAATTGAATTGGTCAGCAAGTGCGCTCCAGTGAACATTAATTGAAAATTTTGCAGATTAAAAAAAGAGGATTTTTGATTTTTCAGATTTTCTCGATTTTCCAGACAAATTGTGCACTCTAATTGAACGCCACACCTATCGTCAACTTTAAGCCTGTATATCTCAGTCCCTTTACGAGATATCGAAAATTTGTCACCTAATAAAATCTGGCAGATGATGTGATAAACATTTTATCAGTTGACAAATGTTTGATATCTCTTGTAGGAACCGAGGTAATTGAACTCAAAGTGAATGGTGTCTACGGTACATAGAAAGCAACTCAAACCATCCGCTTTGAGCTAAATTATCTCGGTTTCTATCAGAGATATCAAAAATTTGTCAACTGATAAAATGTTTATCACGTCATCAGCCAGATTTTATTAGGTGACAAATTTTCGATATCTCGTACAGGGACCGAGATAT